GGGGTGCACGGGGAAGGGAGTGGGGTGCACAGGGCAGCACGGGGTGCTGGGGGTGTGCAGGGAAGGGGGAAACGGTGCAAAAAGTAGTACAGGGTGCTGGGGGTGCATAGGGGAGGGGGTAACAGGGTGCACAGAGCAGTACAGGGTGCTGGGGGCATGCAGGGGAGTCGAGCGGTGCACAGAGCCACACGGGGTGCTGGGGGTGCACAGGGAAGGGGATAACAGGGTGCAAAAAGCAGTACAGGGTGCTGAGGGTGCACGGGGAAGGGGGATAACAGGGTGCTAGGGCTGCACAGGGGAGTCGAGGGGTGCACAGGGAAAGGGACGGAGTGCAGCAGAGTGCACAGAGCAGCACACGGTGCTGAGGGTGCCCAGGCTGCCCAGGGGCCTTGGATGCACAGGGCAGGGGGGTCAGGGCTGCAGCTGGGCGCAGGCAGCTGCGCAGAGGGTTGGGTCAGGTTTGCAGGGGTGCTAGGCACCCACAGGGGCAGGGGAGCTTGCAGCCGGCTCTCCATGTGGCTCTGTCCCTCCGCAGGCCTCCTGTCCGCTGCCACCCTGGCGCTGCGCTGCATGGATGGTGTTTTCCTCTCGCCCAACGAGGATGAGTTCGTGGGCAGGATCGCGGAGGAGCTGGAGCACTTCATGCTGCAGGGGCAGCACCACAGGTAGGTGCCCTGCCGCGGCGGCGAGCAGCCCCCGCTGGCGTACACAGTCCCTGGGTGATGGCACGTGCCACTCCTGGAGCAATGGCACGCTGTGACTCTTGCCTCCGTTTTGCATCGGTTCTCTGGGGTGAAAACGCCGTCTGGGTTTGAGCGGCAGCGTTTGGAGCCTGGCTGCGAGGTCTGGCTGGCTGCAGAGCTCTGGCCTGGCCTGGAGCATCCCTGCGGGCCAAGGAGCGGCGTGGGGTTTCTGCCATGCGCGCTTCTCCATTCATACACCTTCAAGCAGAGTTGTTTTGGACGCTGGTGGCTTTTGCACCAGCCCCAGTCTAGCCTAGCTCTCTAGTCAGCCTGACGAGTTATAATGAATGGTTTCATAATCAAACTGTTTCATTTCCCCTCTCTGCTGAGGGCTTCCTGCGTGCCGGATCCTCCTCCACGGCAGCGAACTCCGTCGCCTTGGATTGCTGCGTTGTTTTTCTTTGGCCAGGCTGGGTTTAACTGGACCTAGTCCCCGATCCAGTGACCTTTGAAGCCCTTGAGATGGTCAAAAAGAGGGTGTCAGACAGGAGCAGGGGTGTGATTGCTTAGTTCAGCTTCCTGCCAGCTTGTAATGACCGTAAATATTTGTGTCATTGGTTTTTGTTGTGTTTTTTTTAAATGTTTGGCAGAGAAAATACCTGTGCAATTGTAAAATGCTCAGGAATGAAACTGAAACTGTAGAAATGTGTCTAAATGCAAGGAAATTGAATGTGGCGTTTATTCATCCATTCATAATCTTTTAGTTGCTGGTTTCTGGAGCGCGCTCAGGCTGGGAGGAAGGGGACCGGTAGCAGCCTTCTGCTGGTGCTTTCCAGCCGTTCCCAGAGCGGATACAGGCAGGAATGAGGGTGCCAGCCAAAGGCCCCGGGACGGGGCAGTCCCAGCCGCCCCACGCTCCTGGTGCTACGTGCAAAGCGAGCGCGTCGTGTCTCGACATCTAGGATGGAGAAGGGATTTTGGTTCTTTAATACCAGAAAGTCCTGCCTGGCTTTTGGGCTTGGATTTAAACCCTGCACTGGGAATGACCTGGGGAAGAGAGGTTCATAAATTCTTGCTACGTTCCTGTCCTTTTCCTTCCTGCAAGTTGCTGATGCCGCCGACCCCTCTCTCTTTTCAGAGTGCTCCTGTTCCCCCCTCTGTCCAGTCGCCTCAGGTACCTGATCCATCGGACCGTGGACAATGTGGATTTGTTGAGCAGCTTTTCTGTGGGAGAAGGATGGAGGAGGAGGACGGTCATCTGTCACTCGGCCGTCAGGTACGGTGCAGTAGATGTAACAGTGCTTCTCTTTCTATGGCCGTGGGGTTTTTGTTCAAGGTTACGAGCGTGAAGTTTGTGTGGTGCTTCTCTGCGGAGAGGAGGGCGTCTATGATCAATAGCATATCCCAGTCATTAAGGAAGCAGAGGCTCTTCTTTTTTTTTTTCCTACCTGCTGACTTCTGTGCGGATCTGATGCCTGCCCTCCTCTCTTTCTTTTGCAAATGTCATGTTACTGGGGTTCCTCTGCTCCCTGCTCATGTCCTGCCGTTCTCTTGGTCCCAGGCTGCCCAGTGAGACTAGCGACCAAAAACCCAGCAGCAACCCACCGAGACCGCAGCGACCTCCGCAGCCGTGGGGCCGTGGGGCCCGAGGCGGCAGGCTGCGGCACAGCGGGGAGGTACACAGTGACAACTCTCGAGCCTGCGTGGGGTCTGGCAGGATAAAAAGGCCGCCCAGGAAGAAGCCAGATAAAGCCCTGTACGTCCCCAAGGCGATGCGCAAGAAGGCAGAATGGGGGGAGCAGGAGAGCCCGGTGGCGGCCGGCACCGAGTCAGGTGGGGATATGGCACAAGAAGAAGAGATCTGCCCTAAAGCTTCAGTCGGGGACGCCCAGGAGGAGCTGGGTAAGTCTGAAGGCAGCCCAGGTGGCGTCTCCTTGGCCCTTGGCAAGCAACAGGAGCCTGGCGAAGAGTGTGTTTCAGGAAAAAGTAATGATGACACAAACGATGAACGTCCTCCATGCTGTACGGATGTCCCATCGTTAGAGAATAGTAATGATTTCTCTGGGCAGGAAAGTCAGGATAAAGACTGTTCAGATTCCCTTTCTTCTGTACACAATAAAAACCCAATTGAAGCAGAAGAGCAAGATCAGAGCTGCGACAACACTATTATACCAGAAGGTAGCAAAATCCTGTGCCAGCTGCAAGCTGAAGACCAAAACAGCCAGGATGCCGGTGTAGCGGAGTGCGGCAAAAACTCCTCCCTATCGGGAAGTCGCAGCAGTAACTGCTGTACAGACCCAGCTGCAGCAGAGTCGAGTGCAATGTCGCTGGTGCTGGAAAACCAAGATAAGAGCTGCGCTGCCGCCAAGAGCCTGGAGAGCGGTGGAAACGTGTCACCGCCTGAAGAACAGGGCAAGGACTTTGTGAATGCCGGCACAGGGGAGGGAGGCAAGAGTTTCTCCGAACTGGAAAGCCAAGATCAAGAGTGCCCCAGCGTTCCCCAGGTGGGGCGTAACCAGAACCCCCCAGAAGCCCAAAATGAGCCTCTGGCCACGCCTGAACCGGTCCATGGTGCCGACCCATCAGCTCCTGCGGAGCAGAACGAGCGCTGGGTGGATGCTCCTGTGCAGAACCGCAGTGGGAAGGTGTCCGTGGCCGAAGAGGAGGACAAGGAGCGTTCGGGCTTGGCCGAGGCACTGTGGCGTGAGCTGCACTTGTCTGCATAGTAACGATTTCTCTGGGCAGGAAAGTCAGGATAAAGACTGTTCAGATTCCCTTTCTTCTGTACACAATAAAAACCCAATTGAAGCAGAAGAGCAAGATCAGAGCTGCGACAACACTATTATACCAGAAGGTAGCAAAATCCTGTGCCAGCTGCAAGCTGAAGACCAAAACAGCCAGGATGCCGGTGTAGCGGAGTGCGGCAAAAACTCCTCCCTATCGGGAAGTCGCAGCAGTAACTGCTGTACAGACCCAGCTGCAGCAGAGTCGAGTGCAATGTCGCTGGTGCTGGAAAACCAAGATAAGAGCTGCGCTGCCGCCAAGAGCCTGGAGAGCGGTGGAAACGTGTCACCGCCTGAAGAACAGGGCAAGGACTTTGTGAATGCCGGCACAGGGGAGGGAGGCAAGAGTTTCTCCGAACTGGAAAGCCAAGATCAAGAGTGCCCCAGCGTTCCCCAGGTGGGGCGTAACCAGAACCCCCCAGAAGCCCAAAATGAGCCTCTGGCCACGCCTGAACCGGTCCATGGTGCCGACCCATCAGCTCCTGCGGAGCAGAACGAGCGCTGGGTGGATGCTCCTGTGCAGAACCGCAGTGGGAAGGTGTCCGTGGCCGAAGAGGAGGACAAGGAGCGTTCGGGCTTGGCCGAGGCACTGTGGCGTGAGCTGCACTTGTCTGCAGGCGATAAAGAGGAGAGCGCGGCCATCCGCGGGCAGAGCAGCCTCGAGGACGACTGTACCGCGGAGCTCTTTGCAGAGGTAGTGTTTTGCCATGGGTATTGCCCCGGGGAGCGACTTTGGGGAAAAGAGGGTGGCTCAGGAGCCAGCCTGAGGGGAAGGCATTAGTCCATGGGAGGAGAGTCCCTGTGCCAGGGCTGCCCCAGGCGGCTGCTGAACCTGTTGGCAGGAGTGTGGCCACAGAAGTGGTTTGCAGGGACCGAGGTGTGGCTCTGGAGGATCGCTCTTCAAAGTGAAACCTTGTCTGAATCAGACCTTGTCTGATTTTTTTTTTCATTATTATATTTTTTTTAATATCCTCAGATTGTGGGTTATTTAACGGTGAAGGACGTAAGCATTGAGAAGATCAGCTTTGATTATTCCAGTTACGGAGATGCACAGCTCGGCGAGGGGGATTTTGGCCACGTAACCGAAATCTATGACTTCTCCCCGTCGCTGAAAACGGAGCACCTGTTGGAAGCGTTCTCGGATTTCCAGTGAGTACCTCTCTGGGAGCCTGAGCACGTCAGGGGCGCGAAGGGAGCAGTATTCAGACTGGAATGCACAACAGAATCTGATGAATTTTGAATTTTAGTTTTGCCTTCGTGCCCTTACGTCTTACACTCTTTCTGTGCCTTAAAGGACACTTTCCTGCAGTTTATGCACGATTTAAAACACGACCGGTTCTTCAGGACTGTCGTACACACAGTTACCTACATGCAGGCTTACTCCTACTGCTCTGGCTTCAGTGAGTCTAGGTGCTTGCTACGAGCTGCTTTGTTACTGCATCCTGGTGCTTGAGTGAAATGACGTGCTTACCGAAGTCTTTGCAAGAAAAGGGGCTCAATCCGGCTGTTGGAGATACAATTTAATACGTAAATACGGGGAACAGAGCCTTGCGCCTGAGGGAGTGATGTTGGGTTGGTAGCAGGACCAGAACGAAGTTCAGCCCTGCGTTAGTGGTAAACGGTGCTCGGTGCAGCTCTGAGTTACTCTGTCGCTGCTGCCAGAGTGCGCAGACACGGTGTCTGTAGGCACCTCGCCCCGTTTTCCTCCCGCCATCCTCCTCCTCTCTTGATATACCTGGCGGATTAGATGTGAATGCTTCATCTCTACCGATCCCTTAAATTAAAAAACATGATTTACCTTTTAAATAAGCTACTGTCTATTGTGTGTGTCTTCCTCCGATGTGTTTTTTCCCCACTTGCTGTGAGAGTGAAACTGAGCTGAAAATTGACGGATCTGGTCTGAGCGGTTGATTGTATTTGTGTTTCCTGTGCTGCAGGAAAATCTTTTGAACTCCCTGCTCCCAAACTCACATCTCCCACCGACACTGTATTAGATTTTCACATCGGTCTCTTCACCCTAAGCTTTGTAAACCACTTTTATAAATCGCTTGCTTTTTACTGTAGATGTCCGAGCGATCGGGTGGTGTCCGTAAAGCGCTACATAAATGACAAACAGTATTTTTGTGTTACAAGACAGTCCCTGAAATTGAGGTTGATTTTGGCCAAGGGTTTCTTTAGAGGAAAAGGAGAGTTCTTGGGGGCAGCTGATGGGGTAATGGTACATTGTGGCCTCGAAAGGGGCACGTCTAATGTTCTTCTGTCCCTTCCTTCTCTTTCCCCCCGTGTAAAATGGGTACGATGCTTTGAAAAGCACCAGCTGTCTACGTAAGCGTACTAAGTACTCTTGATAACCCGAGGTGGCTGACGGGTTTTATTGTGTGGTGGGGTGTTTTTCTTTCTTATTAATGAATATTATTCTACTGTCTTTTCATTTTAGTGAGAGTGGTTTCAAAATCCAGTGGGTCGATGATACGCACGCCCTGGGAATCTTCTCCAGCCTGTCTACAGGTAGCGTGACTCGATTCGCGGCTGCGACCGAGGGACCCGCTGGGGTTCCTCTGCTCTCGCACAGTGACCCCGTGCTGACGCGGTGGTTTGCAGTGTGCGTCTGTCGAGTCTTGCGCTCGGGCTAAGCTGTTGCCAAAGGTAGTTACGGTTCATCACGTCTTTCTTCCTCCGCTTCAAACTTGAAAGGCTTTTCAGGCTTGAGAAGCTGGAATTACTGTGTGTTGTGTGGAAACTCCGCTGTGCAAGAACAGCAGGTTTTTTAATTGGCTTGGATAATAACCAGGGCACCTTTTGTATACGGAGCGACTCGCGCTGCGTTTCTAGAAATTAATCTGTTTTGCCACTTCAGTTTTTCTTCTCTTGTAACTAGACAAAATTCCTGCAAGCGTACAATAACCTCCCGGGGACCTTACGTGTGCGATGGCACGCGGGTCAGACACCAAGCCTCCTGGCAAACTGACCTTCTCGGGGACAAACGCCCCAAGCTCAGGTCAGAGCCATCCCAAGAGAAGTTTCCATCCAGCAGCGTATGTAGTCCAAAAGCTTATGCTTTTTTCTTGGGATTTAGTCTAGTAACGACAGAGTCGTCTTTTAAAACGCGTTTATATTTTCTTGAGGCTCTTCCTGCGTGAGGAACGTGTGATGTAAGCCTGAGGCGACCAGAAGGAGTTTAGCTGTTCTAGTACAAGTCTGGAGATAACGCATCGGCTGCTGAAGCTCAAATTACTCAGTGTTATTATACCACGTGCAGATTTTTATTATTAAAGCTACTAAAATTCAGTCTGCTAATTTCAGCAATCTTTGTTCTTTGAAGCATCTCAAGCCCTGGGGCGACGTTATCCTTCTTTAAAGATCCGACCACTGATCCATGCAACAAAGCAGTCTAAGATCAAGGCACTTCAACGACCAAGTAAGAAGATCTTTTTTTAAATTATCATTAGTAGTATTTCCTGGTTTACCAGTCTCCTGTATCCCGAGTGGTCACGATGACAAGTTAATGGGAAATATATGTTAAGGACTGGTATTTCTTTCTTGTTTTTGTTTTGTTTTGTGGGGTTTTTTATAGCTTTATTGGCATTGCAGGACAGTGAGCTGTTGTGTAGAGTCTTCAGTAAAAGCCTGCAGATGCATTTTTTTTTTTTTACAGTATTTTCAGCCAACCCGTATCATAGTTATGTTAAAACCTACTGCCTCAGTAATGCTGGTTTCTGCCTGTTTGCAGCAGGCGTGAGTGGCTGGCAAAGGTGAATGTGGTGACAAAAACAGTTCCGCAGCACAAGACCGCGTTCTGTACTGCTTACAGGAAAGATAACCGCAGCTGGTACCTGTGCTTCAGTTTTCACTCACTCCTCCTCCCCTCTAGATGAGGACTGAATAAAAAAGCATCACATCCTTTTTGTTTACCCTCCAGCTAGGTGGTCTGCTGAAATTCAGGCTTAGTCTTTCTTGTGTTATGTGCGTCGCTTGTGTAAAGGTTGAGGGGAACAGCTGCGTTGTTCGGCAGCCTGGTGTAGCTGTAGCAGTGACTGCAGGGAGACACAGCATGGCACAGCCATCAGCCCGCCCAGTGAGCTCCCCTGCCCCACTGCTCTGCGCGCTTGAAGATAATAGATGAGACAAAACCGATAGCAGTTACGTTTTGTGGTTGGCATAATTTTTATTCAGTATCGGGTGAAGGAAAAAAATTGTTAAGCTTAGCCATTAACAGTGTTTTATTTACTTTATTGCCTTTTAAAATCATATTGTAATCAGTTATACTTGCCACAGTAAAGAAATGCCATGAGTCTTGTAGCAGTAGAGACTTTGCTGAACGTACAACTATACTGTTATTGCTACAGTACACTGCGGTTGAAACACACTTCAGTATTAATGCTTTAAAGGGACACTGTCACAGTTAGAAGTTCCTGAGTTTTTAAGACTGCTAGATGTAAATGAAATGTCAAAGAACTGGATTTGTTTTGCACTCTCCCCTTCACCTGTTTTCATTCACGCTTCCCGATTCTTGTTGCTGCAGCCTATCGGCATGCTTCTGAATCAGGTTATAAACTCCTTCTGGGGAACGTTATATATAAACTCTGTTTGTGTTCAGTTTAAGTAGCAGGTTTTTTTCCAAATACAAATTTGGATCTTAAGTAGCTGACAGTGTCTCTTCTTTTTTTTTTCTTTTTTTTTTTTGTGAGCTTTGTTAAGAAAGAGTGGCAGTTTTGTTTTCCAAGCTGCGGATGCTTTGAGTCTGCCCCTTTTTCTTTAAGCTGCTGATGGGCTGCCTTTATTAATAAAACTTCTGAAAAAGCAAGCAAAGCCCCCATTGCTAACTGGATAATAAATTTGCAAACAGTTGCTGATAAATGATTAGGTAATTGCCAAATCCAGACTACTGTGGACTTGGTAAAGTTCTGGTGTATTCATTTCTTGTAAGGTGAAACTGTAGCAAGCCAGGCGTCTGCCAGAAAATGGAGGTTACTGGCCAAAGGGCTTTCCCAAAGCATCTGATATATTTAGCTATTTAAAAAAAAAAAAAATGCCGGTTTTTTCCTTGCTGCTTTCTGAGGATTAAGACCTCTGGTTGCGATTAGTCTAAATTGAGATCAAACTTTCCTGTGCACGGATAAATTGGTTGGACTGTGCGCCTTCATTTTGTTCTCAGAGATGTGACTTGCTGAATTTTGCCAGGAAGGGTTAAGGAAGCTGTTCCTGAAAGCGAATGGGGAACAATTCTCTCTACCACTGCAGAAGAGGCCTGGAGCTTAATCATAGCCAAATCGCTCTTGAACTGTCATTGAAAAGTCTTAAGTGCAAAGCTGGAGGCACATCTTCCTAAAAGAAAAGGCAGTTTACTGGATAGGGATAGAATCATTTGCTCATGCTCCTGGGCTAATTCTGTAAAGGAACTAAGAAAATAGAAATCAGCCCTTCTGTCTGCCAGTCCTACGGCTTAGCCACAAGACTGTTCCTGAACAAGCACTAACTTAATGATTTTTCACCCATTTTTACCTAGAGCTCCTTCACCTTGCAAAAGAAAGACCCCAGACTGACACTGCAGTGGCGAAGAGGCTGGTGACCCGGGCTTTGGGTTTGAAGCACAAGCAGCAGGGCATCTCGGGCACCGAAGCGCTCCTGCCGGAAAGCTTGGACCAGGAGGAATAGACCATCTCGGCTAGAAAAGATGTATAGATGAGCATGGCTGTGATATTAAACTGCATGCAGAACAGTGAGTTGCCACGGGGATGTTCTCTTATGGATTAGCACCGTCTTTTCTTTCTAAAGTTGGGAAGGGAACAAGTTTACTATTCATAAGATCTTGAGCTCAAGAGCCAAGCCCTGCGAGGGTCGCTGTCAGCTCTTCATTATGGAGAGCATCTTGCCCTACTCTGTTTCAAAGCGTCTGTTACTCGCTGGGGCGCTTGCAGAAAGTAAGGCTGCTTTCAGAAAAGCCTGCTCTGTAATTGAAAAAAAAAAAAGCATTAGAGTAAGGGAACTGTATCTTGTTGGCCAAAATTCAGCTGTAAGCAAGAGCAGAGAGCAGCTGCAGAAGTCAAAAAAAATCTGTTTAATGTTTACTTTGTTGTAATGTTACTGTTAAAATATCCCACAAAACTGACAAGCATTGAATGCGAGTGAGTTTCAGGGTTTTTCCTTATTTACATAGTGTTTAAAGAGCCCGACTTGCTTTGTTGCACTGTTAGCAAGGGAAGTTGTCATACACTGACTAGGAAAACCAGAAGGTGCCAGTTCTGATTTGCCCAGACCCTGGTGTTGAGATGCTGCAAGGCACCTTGTTGTGGCCTCAGCAATCGAACATCCAACACATCTCAGACTCTGCTTTTGCTACGCAGTCCGGCATCTTGAGAACAAAAGAGAGTTTTCCAACGTACAGTAGGCTAAAAACCTTTGCTAGATGCCACCATCTGGGCCACCGGATAAATGACAGAAATCCTCTGACAGGCGCTAATTAGCAAAAGACTTCTGCATTCTTTAAGCCTCACAACATCCCTGTGAGGTAGGTTACGGAGAGCACAAGTTAGATGCAGCCAGTTTCAGCCCCCCTGTGGACTGAAACGGTCAGCTGTAAGTATTCAGTTAACTTTAGCTGCTTGTAGAAGTCTTCCATACAAACACAGAGGGAGAAAACACTTCAGTACCAGGAATTGTGAACAAGGCCCTAAACTTTCATGGAGTAGAAATACACAAATGGCATATAAAACATTTTTCTGGGTAAAACATTTTTATTCAAGTAGCTGTGTCTGCAAATCTGTAGCAATGTGCGTCCTCAAACAAACAGAGGAACACACTTAGCACCATTATGAATTTACCAAGTGTAAAAATCCTTCTGAAGACAACTTACACAGGTGGGTCTGTGACAGCACAGGTCCAGATCCCTGATGATGAAAGCCGTGACGTTACCTCTGTAAGGTACAGTGATGATACAATGCCTTAACTAAATTCATCCTTTAAAGAAAAGACAGAGCGAACATCCAGCTTAGAAGGTAATATTTAGATGTACGTAGAATCTATTGGGTGACTAGCTTACTGTGTAATGGAAATTCACAGGCCGGCGGACTCATCATCAGGAGATCTGCAAAGTCTTCTAGATGTGGCAAGGGAGGTGTAGCTTCATGGAGCCCTGATGCACTTGTAGAAGACAGTTCTGCATTAGCTGCTCCGCTTGAGAGATTGTGTTGGGAGTTGATTGTTGAATACAAGAGTTTCACTGCAGTATTAAATTATGCTTTACACTGTTCTGCTCAGAAAAAGCCGCTCCTCTTTTTTTTTTTCCTTTCCTGTATTTCTTTGCTAAAATGGAGTAATGAGATGGCGGTACTGAGGGTTAGCTGTGTTCAAGAAGCAGCGTCACAAATGGAGGCATTTGCATCAATGGTGCGTTCAAGCTTGAGTCAAAGAGCTTAAAGATACCAAGATTAATGCCTTAAAGAAAATGAATGGTAAAGCCATACTTAGGTTGTTGGTACCCAAACAAAGGCAAACTGTGCCTGCTGCAGCCTGGACCTACGTCTGCGAGCAAAGATGGCGCTGCAAAGTGGAGGGAGAAATCTCTGGAGAAGGTTGGAATGGTGAAGATAAGGAGCCAAGTAGAGTTTAAAAGCCTGCTCCTAACTACCTCCGTAGTAGGGACTGGAGTTACAGGAGACGCAGGGTGGTCTGAGCACCTAAACTGGGAAGGAAGGCATCTTTAGAAAATAATTTACCTTGCTAATTTAGAGTTTGATTGTTTGCTTGATTTTCTTTTTTGTGCAGTGGTTAGGGAAGTCGCCGAAGCAGGAAACCTCGCTTCTTTAAATAGTGGGGTGGGAGGCGATGCTGTTCTATCGGGTGGACACCTTGTTATTTGTGAGTCCGCTGAAGTGCTCAAACTTCTGTTCCGTTTCCTCACTGAAAGAGCCACCTGGGGAGTTCACAGAAAGAACACGCAGGGCTGAGCAGGAGGTAGCAGAGGCAGCTTGCAACACAAGGCAGAGAACACACCGGGTTTTTGTGTAATCTGCAAAAGACGCTGTGAAAATGAAGGGCTCAAAGCGAGTACTAGAAGAGCAAAGATTTTCCTGGGCTAATTAATTGAGGCATTAATTAAATCTTACCATAACTGGAACAGCCAAGAGTCCCCAGGAGTACTGGACCTAGTCTTTTATGTATTCGGAAGACCAGACTACAGACTACCCTCCATTTCACTGCTAACTGTTGTTGCTTAAAAAAATTAGGTGATGACTCTTCTTAAGTAGGACCATGCCCTTACTTTTTGCTAGTTGAGAGGCAATGAAAGCCAAATACATGTATTTTTAAATAGAAATAGTTTCAAGCTCAGCTGGAGAGCCCATCCAACACTTAAGTGCCTGTTCATCCAAACGAAGTGGGTTTGGCTTTGCTGAACTAGGTCGCAATCTGAAGCGAGACAAGCATTTTCTTAAAAAAACCCCAACAAATTAATGAGAAAAATCAGTGGTTACATGGATTTTTTTTTCAGGATAAACACTCCTTGAAGAACTTCAGCCAGCTCTGGAAATTGTCTTCACCACTGGTTTTATTTGGAGGTTGGCAGGCAGTTGCCGTTAATTTATTTTCTGTGATAAAAACAGTTTATCTTACAAAGCCCCCAACTTAATTCCATTTTAAAATGGTCTTGACAGTTGACCGTTAATGGAAATTTAAACTAGTTTGGCTTTGATAGTTCCAAGACCAAAAAAAATCCCAAGTGATAATGTTTTACATGTATTCAAGAAAATACAGAGTTTTCCCTCACATTCAAGGGACAGCAGAGCATTTTCATTTCTGGCTTGAGCAGAGGGCTCTTCTCCACTGCTCTGCTTCGCACATCACTGTTCTTGTTTGTTTGCTTTTCAAGAAAGGAGAAGCTTTGGGTCCTAAGAGGCCAGTCCCAGGTTGGTAATCGTTTGAGTCTGGGAAGAAGTTGTAGTTGTTTGCCTGGACCTACTCGGGCATTGCACGGGAGCTTGCCTTACGTCCGACAGCCTTGGGAGGGAAAAAGGCTCATTTCCTTGTAGAAGAGATACAGCTGGAACACGTTACCCCCATTCTACCAAGCCTGAGGGATTTCTTTCGGATCTCGCACAGAGAGCTGTTTTACCAGTGTTGCGCTTGCTGCTCCAGTAACGCGTACAACGCAGCACTAAGGAACCGTCCCACCCCCATCCAGCCATCGTACTCTTTGCAACCTGTAGCGGCTTGACCCCGTAACGGAGACACTTTGGTGTCTGCCCTTTGAACAGTCAAATAGCACCAGTGTAGTTTGGGCTCAGTATCTCGTCTTTCCAAGCACGTACAAAGTGATAAACAGCACAAAAGCACATAGCAAGAGAAGCAGAAAGCATTCCTAGCAAAGAGCCAGCGATGCAGTCATTGAGCTTTCCCCTGCAGAAGTCACTCTCACCTATGTGGCAGTTGTACATCCAGATGCGCTGCCCATCGTACCGGCTCCTGCATTTCATCACGTTATTTGAATAATCAGATTCAGCAACTTCATAGTTCGGGTTGATGACAACCTAGGGAGTGATGGAGAGACACAGCAGAAAGTTTATTTAAAGGTGGGCTGGACTCAGTCAGACTGAGACAGAATCAGCTTTCTCATTACACCATAATCTTTTTTTTAACAGAAAAAACCTAACTCGTTTTGCAAGGAGACAGAAACTACTTGATTAAAGCCAGCTCAAGATCACACCTTCCCCCATGCACCAAGATTACCCTCAAACACCTTCTCTACATTTCACACGATAGCAGTGCAGACAGAAATAATTCCTCTTCCCTTCGCTCCTCTCCAGTTTAAGTGGCTGGGTTTAGAACCAAAGAATTCCCCCCACTCCACCCACTTGCACAAAACAGACTGTAGGCCCAGTCTTAACTCCTCACGCAAACGCCACAAGAATAGCACTATTTAATCCCCAAGTGAAGCGAGCGTTGCTTACAAACAGCTCAAAAGCTTAGTACAACAAGACAACAGCGGGATGCTGTGCACGTATATGATGTGACCTGTAATGCAGCGTGTTAACAGCGTTAGCTGCACGTGGATTGTGTAGGGCTGTCAAGTATTCGCTGGACAAGGATTTCTTAAGGCTGTAATCTCTAAGCTGTGGTTATTGGCTCTGATTTTTCACTTGGGGAAGTATGTGATCTGGTAACACTTTGTTGTCCTGTTAGGTAATTCTTTATCTTTTAGGTATCCTGGGAACATCATCTCTTTGTAATTGGAAGTTTATAGTACCGTAGGAGATGTACAAATAAACCAGTTAGTTACATTCTTGACATCCCTAACGGATAAGATAAAAGCAACGGCAGTGTCTCAAACCCTCTTTTTCTGCCGTACCTGGAAGAGGTAATCGCCTGGCGGGACATCAGTAATATCGATCCACTGGCAGTCGATGTCATGACGGTACACGTCCCAGCATCCAACTGTGATTCCTTGTTCACCAAAATTGGCGCATTCATACTGTTTTTGCACATCTAAATGAGAAGAGTTAAAGGCACAGAGTTTTAGATTCACAGCGAGCGGGGCTAGGAATTTCCCCCCCTCGGACACGTCAGAGGAAGGGCTGGTTGTTCTCCAGCTCCCATAGACAGCGATAAGCTCCAGGCACAGTATTTTGGCTGAGATTTAACACAACAGTGTCTTGCTCGGTGCCTTGTATTGAAATACACGTACTGCTTAACTGCACGGGGGGAGCTGCCACCTTCCGTGCCTCATCACCTAGCGGCACGTTTTAGAA